GGGTTTGCTCTTTATCCCATGCTAGCCGAGTGAAAGCGACCTCTTCAGCTCCTTCCTTCTCAAATGTGGGCTGCCCTGCCCGAGCTGGCCCGTGAACTTAGACTGTGGGGTCCAGCTTGCCATAGCAGCTCCTCGGTTTGGCTGGTGGCTGCTCTGTGCCTTATCTTTTGCTGCTTGGGCTGCGCAGCCGGGGCCGCCTGCACATCACTTCTGCTTTCGGCTGCCGCGCGCCGGTTCTGCGCTTTTGGGCTTCGCTTTTTGGCTGCTTGGCTGGATCTCGCTCCGGCACCAGTGGCTAATTTTGGAACCCAGCTGGGCAGGAGGCTCCGGGAATACCGTGAATGAGTGATCGTTTCTCCTTGGAGCAGCTCACTGTTCGTTTGGGGAACCTTCGGATTTCGATTACAGCCGAGCCCTCTGGCGCAGAGCCCCCTCGCAGCCCTTCACCCTCGGACTCTTTCGTTCTGGTTGAGAACTTGGAGACAGGCGCCCAGGCCTCTTCGGAAACTGGACCCCTTGCTGGAGGAGCACGACCTGCTCCTCAGACTTCGGAGCCGACACGGTCATCCGACGAGGCTTTCATCGAGGCCAGGACTCTGCAGCAGCTTTCTGAGCTGAACTTGGGTGGCTACACGACCTTGGCTCGCCGGCTCGGGGTCGTAGGCCCTTGGTCCCCGGAGACTCGTATTGCAAGGGCCTTCCGTGCTGGTGTTTCGGCTGGACTTGTGCTGCGTGGCGAGCGGGCCTACCAGGAGAGCAGCTTGACTTTGGGGACCCGGAATCGTGTCTACATCGTCCTTCGCTGCCCCTCCCGGCCTGAGGGCTTCTACTGCGAGAACTTCGGGACTTTCAGAGAGCACTGTCCGCAAAGTCGCTTTGGCCGGCTGGATAGCGGCATTATCTGCCACGGATTTCCTTCGCGGGCGGAGGCTGAGGCCTTCGTCTTCGGCTCCGGGTCGCCATGGCCGCAGGAGCTTTGAGGCAGGACGACATAGTGCGATTGCTGACGGGGGCTCCGGCAGGTCGCCCTCTCCCGCTTGTTTACTTTGTGGACGACGAGGAGACACCGACCCTACGGATCACGGCGTTTGTCTTGAAGCACAGGGCAGGTGGATTCATGGTGGCTCTGCCTGGTCTTCCCGAGGTGACCGAGCTACTCACGAACCTCGCTCTGGGCAGCCCCGAGGCCCCTTTGTTGTTCACCGAGGCGACTGTGGCTTGCGAGACGCCCCGACGGCGGGCCGTTGGCGATGTCGGCCTGGTGCTCGCGGACGTTCCTTGGCACTGGTTGGGCTTCTTCAGGCGGGGGGCTTCTCTCCGCAACAGCGAGCTCCGGCTTTTGTCCATCACGTCTGCTGGCGCAGTTGTTCGGCCAGTGCTTGGCCCGGCTTTGGCTGCCGCCGATTCTTGGGTGGCCTCTGCTCAGGACGAGCCAGACATGCAGGACTCGATGGGCGAGTATGCTACCGCTGCAGAGGACGGCGAGGACCTGGGCCCCGAGGACGAGGGCTTGGACACACCCGACATGGAGATCGCCCGCCTTCGCGCTCAGGTTGCTTCGCTCGAGCGGGCCGCTCAGACACAGCCTCCTGCAGACGGTGGTCGCCCGGGGGGCCGGGCAACTGGAACACAAGCCAGGCGAGGGGCTCGAGACCTTTTTCCGGAAGCCGGGGCGACAAGCCTCGCACCTGGCGATTGGGATCGGCTTCGGACCGCGGCTGGGGCCCCTCCGCCTCGCATTGCTCAACACGAACGTGCTCCTCGACCTGCGGGCACCCAGGAGGCGAACGATCTGCT